ACCTGTATAAAAGACACTTGTCCACACACTCAATCTATCAGACTCCAACTTCTCCACTATGGGCAAGACCAAAGAGCTGTCTAAGGACACTAGGGACAAAACTGTAGACCTGCACAAGGCTGGGATGGGCTACAGGACAACAGGCAAATAGCTTGGTGAGAAGGCAACAACTGTTGGCGCAATTATTAGAAAATGGAAGAAAGATGACTGTCAATCTCCTTCGGACTGAGGCTCCATGCAAGATCTCACCTCATGCAAGAAGAAGGATGAGAACAATCCCAAGAACACCGTCCCAACCGTGAAGCATGGGGGTGGAAACATGCTTTGGGGGTGCTTTTCTGCAAAGGGGACAGGATGACTGCACTGTATTGAGGAGAGGATGGATGGGGCCATGTATCACGAGATTTTGGGCAACAACCTCCTTCCCTCAGTAAGAGCATTGAAGATGGGTCATGGGTGGGTTTTTGCAGCATGACAATGACCCCAAACACACAGCCAGGGCAACTAAGGAGTGGCTCTGTAAGAAGCATTTCAAGGTCCTGGAGTGGCTTAGCCAGTCTCCAGACCTGAACCCAATAGAAAATCTATGGAGGGAGCTGAAACTCCGTGTTGCCCAGCAACAGCCCCAAAACCTGAAGGATTTGGAGAAGACCTGTATGGATGAGTGGGCCAAAATCCCTGCTGCAGTGTGTGCAAACCTGGTCAAGAACTACAGGAAATGTCTGACCTCTGTAATTGTAAACAAAGGTTTCGGTACCAAATATTAAGTTCTATTTTTCTATTGTATCAAATATTTATTTCATGCAATAAATAGGAAATTTATTATTTAAAAATCAAACAATGTGATTTTCTGGATTTTTTTTTAGATTGTCTCTCACAGTTGTGGTGTACCTGTGATGAAAATTACAGATCTCTCCATTCTTTGTAAGTAGGAAAACTTGAAAAATTGGCGGTGTATCAACTACTTATTTGCCCCACTGTAACCACATGGGCTCAGTATGACTTTGGCTCACCTGTGTCAGGCTCTACAATATGTAGTTACATCCATAAATGCTGCTTAAAACTATTGTGCCAAAAGGAAGCCCTATGTCAACAGTGTCCAGAAGTCGACTGCTCTGGGCTCAGAGGCATCTGGGATGGACTGTCACACAGTGGAAACATGCACTGTGGTCAGACCAATCAGTGTTTCAGGTTTTTTTCGGAAGGAATGGACGCCGCATGCTCCGGAACAAAGACGAAAAGGACCATCCAGACTGTTAGCAGGAACAAGTCCAAAAGCCAAGGTCTGTCATGGTCTGGGGTCATGTCAGTGCCCTGGACAAAGGTCGCTTACACTTCTGCGATGGCTCAATTAATGCTGAACAATACAGAGATGTTGGAGCAACATATGCTGCCTTCAAGACATTGTCTTTTCCAGTAACATCTGTGCATATTCCAACAAGACAAATGCATACTGCGAGTACTGGACCAGCCTGCCTGCAGTCTCGACCTATCCTCAGTAGAGAATGTGTGGTGCATTTTGAAACACAACCTGCGACAATGAAGACCCAGGACTGTTGCACCTTAAGACTTGCTTGCCTGAGGAATGGAACAAAATGACACCTGACACACTGAATCACTTGGTGTCCTTAGTCCATAAATGTCTTTTTTAAGTGTTGTGAAAAGGAACGGCAGCATCACACCGATAAAGTTTCCTGAGATGATTTTTGTTGTGATTTGGCACTATACAAATAAAATTTTATTGCAAATATTTTGATCATCAAAACCTCCACACCATCACTGGTAGCTCAGTGAAACTTTATCTAAGGAAACAAATCAAGTACAGCCATCCTGTTGGAGGTGAAAGGGTGAGGTTTCCTGCAGCTGTTTGCCTTTGTCTTCTATTTGACACCACAGATCAACCGCAGCTGTGGCACATTTCACTTATATTATGCTCAAGTATGGTTTCATCTTCTGTTCTTTCCTGTTATTGTTCTTTGCTGTTTTCAGTCATTTCCAAGTTTGATTGTGGTTTTTCATATAATTTGCAGTGGTGGAAAGTAAAGTACATTTACTCAAGTACTACTTATGTACTGTATTTTTAGGTCTATACTTTACTTCAGTATTTTCATTTTTGGTTACTTCATATTTTGTCTTCACCACATTTATTTTACACCTTTAGTTTCTAGCTATTTTTCATAACAAGATTAATACAAAAAAATGCAGTAAAGGACCTCACTGATCTATGGTGGAAAATTCACAAGCCACCAAGCAGTAAATCTAATTAAATGCATATAAGCCAGTTAAAACCAGCACCCCCCCTTTACCAGCTGCAAGACTAAATGCGATATACACAATAACGCATCAGTAATTACTGTATAATACTATGATATACGGGAATGTGAAACATGCCATTCTGCATAATGAATATTTTTACTTTAGTACTTTATGTTTTGAAGCCAATACTTTTACTTGAGTAACATTTTAAATGCAGGACTTCTACTTGTAACAGAGGACTTTTACACTGTGGTACTGCTACTTTTGCTTACATAAAGGATCCGAGTACTTCTTCCACCACTGTGTATTTATTCACATTGTATCAACTCCACATCATGCTACTTCAGAGTCAAATATCAAAAGATGAAAGATGACACACAACCACAAAAACTCTGAACGTGCAAGAATATGAAGATAGCATGTGAAATACTGTTATATTCAATAGCCAAATTTTTCAAGAAGCAAAAATTAAAAACATAAAAATATTCCATGCTTTCCCTAACAATTAAGACTCTTGCAGGAGACCTTATAATTTCTGATTCTGCAGGAACTGTACCAGAATGTGTTTCTTGTTCCCACAATTTCGCCACAGAGCCATTGTGTTAATTAATGAACATTACAAGAGTTGTTATAGTTAGTTAGTGTGTGGGAACTATAACTGAATTTTCATATGCACAGTGACATTCTCTTTTAGAATTAAGCACTGATGCACAAAACTACCTCTTCCAACATGGTCTAGGATGCATGAAAACACCATGCTTTAAAGAATAATTTCTGGTTAATACAGTATTTCCACAAAAATTTCAACTACCTGATTAAAAATTCTGAAATTTACATCTATTTCACTGAAAAATGCAGTTTGAAAAATTATGCAAATATTTATCTTTTCAAAAGCTGCTGGACCCAAGATATCTCCTACATTACTGTAGTCATTTTCATTGAGTATGAGAGTGCTAGAAGCTACAGATTTCAACCTAACACTTAAGCTAATCACTGGCTTCTAAATTAGCTGTGATGACCCAGAATCACCTCATATGTCTACATCTGAAATTGATATTTAAGGTGAGCACAGATGTTCTTTCTTCAGCACATGAAAGTGGAAAAAACACTCTGCAGATACATGTACATCATATACAGTGAAGCTCAAAAAATAAGGTGAAGTAACAACAAAATTTTGTTTGGAGCCGAGGGCCCCGGGCCGCTGTGTGCATACGCGTCGCCATCACAGGCAACTTGGGGGGGGGGGGGCAATGTGTTCCAAGGACACTTCGACATGTGGACTGCAAGCACCGAGATTCAAACCTTCAACCTTCCGGTTGGGAGACGACTGCTCTACCCACTGCACTACTGTCGCCCCCCAACACAATGAAAAACCATTCTGAGTGGAGGAAGACTTTAGATTATATTATCTAACACAGTAGCTATTCATTGTGCTGTACATGCAGCATAAAGACAAAACCAACAATTCAAAATACAAAGTGGAATATTAAAGGATAAGGCCGGTCTTGTATTAATAGTGTTTTCAACACTTCCCATACACAGACTAAAACCAAGGATTTGCCTCTGCTCACTGTTGGTGTCTATCAGTCCTAGATCATCTTATTCTTCTGTGCCATAAACCCCTATTGATGTTCAAAAATGATTAAAAACATCACAGAATCACACTACTGCACTTAATGACATATGTCCTCATTGCAAAACACAAGGCCCTGATATCTGTTAAGAATATCCAGAAAACTGGTTCATGGGCCCTTGGCTCCTGCTTACTTCGGATCCTGTAAAAAGTTATCGTTGTTCTGAGTCTTTGGCACAACATAAAAAAAGTGATAACTAGCATTTTAGAATTCTAAGATTAACATTTAGCTTAAAGCACATATGTGCCAACAATAGCTAGGTAGTTGTCCAGCAGTACCTTCCAAACAGTGCAACTATTAGTAATGCTTGTACTTTACCATCACCTATTACTACAATTAAATGCAAATTTTACTTACCAGGACCAGTGGCAGTGGCCCCCCTTTCAGACAGATGAAACCGGTACTGGCCAGCAGGGCCAGGCAAATCACACCAAACACCACCAATGAACACAATACAGCTGAAATCCACGGGTCTTTCAGAGAAAAGAAGGGACCATGAGACATATTATTCACACAAAAATCAAGAGACTTGTAGCAGAGAAAGCTTCAGTTTCTTTGTCATCAACATTACTGAGAACCACAAGTTAGAGAAGCAGTGGTGTGACAGTGTTAAAGACATAGATCACCTGAAGTTAGAGGTTTCACCAACAGGCACCTCACTATAACCAGTTGCAAGATGTGTGTTTAACTGGACTTTTAAGCAGTGGCTGAAACACAATGATTCACCGTTAAAATCGATTTTAATAATAAAGTTATGTTGATCCATACATCCATCTTAAGCCCCATAGTAGGTTGCAGAGGCAATTTTCAGCTCCTCCTGGTGGACCCCAAGGTATATAATCTCTCCAGTGTCCAGGTCTACCTTGTGAATGAGTTGGAATGCCTGGAAAACCTCTAATGGCAGGCAACCAGGAGGCATCTTAATCAGATGCCCAAACCACCTCAACAGCTCGGTTCAATGTGAAAAAGCTCTTCTCCGAGCTCCCTCCAGATCTCCCATCTCTGCACCTTACATCTAAGGCTGAGCCCAGCTACCCAAAGGAGGAAACTCATTTTGGCACCTTGCATTTGCAATCTCATTATTTCAGTCAATATCCACAGCTCATGACAATAGTAACAGACTGGTAAACAGAAGGCTTAGTTCACTCTTCACCTCAACAGTTTGGCACAATGCTGACTCTTCCCCAATCCACCCCTCAACCTCATGCTCCATTTTAACCCAACTTGGGAACAAGGCACCGAGATACTTAAACTCCTTCACCTGGGGCACAAACTCACTCCCAAAAGACAGAACAAAAAAGTCAGAACTCAACTGTGTACCTTCTGGGCACATTTTGGATTGAATAATTTAATAATTGGCTTCGCAAGACAAACTAAAAGTATTTTGTTTGTACACTGTCATCGACAAACTAAAGTTAGTTGAGTGGAACAGTCAAAAGTCAATTTCTGGCATGTGTAGTAAACAACACAATTTAGCAGTTAGGTTCACAGGTGTTCTGGAGTGAGAGCCAAATTATAGTTTCGCTTTCCTATTATTAGATCCAGAATTCTGTTCAATTTCAGTAACTGGCTTTGAATCACATCATGACGCACAAGAGTGAGGATCAAATTGAATTGTAGGCACAGAGAAAAGCTGTATACTGCTTATAGGAAAGTAACAGTCCAAGCCTTTGGGAGGAGTAGTGGGAGAGGAGTGCATATGCTAGAACTTCATGTAGCCATATGATGTGAGCTACCTAATTTAAACACAACTCAAATTACAGCAAATTTTTGTCTCAGTACATTTTTCCTCATAATACAGACTTCAAATATTACAACATTTTTGTAGTACTGTGACCCTTCTCTCCTAACAAAATTAAGTCTTCCTAAAAATATTTTGAATATTTTGAGAGCCAGAATTCTTGCGGTTTCTCAGGTGTTCAAATACATATGTTCAGCAGTGCAAGACAAATAAATTCTTTAAAAATCATACAATGTGATTTCCTGAAATTTTTTAAAAATTCTGTCTCTCAGAGTGGGAATGCACCTACAATGTGAATTTCAGACCCCTCCATGATTTCTAAGTGGGAGAACTTGCAAAATCGCAGGGTGTTCAAATACTTCTGTTCCTCACTGTACAGATGTATACAGTGTTGTAATGACATTACTGTATGGTGACTCTCTAGCCCATAGAAAACCAAACTGGTTCTTACAAAAGACAAGCTGAACCAACTCCAACTGGCACTAACACTAGTCTTGAACTAGCGCTTAATTTGCATTGGTCAAAAAGGGATTTAAGTGAAATTTGGGGGGAAAAGTGTATTGATAAAGACAATATGCAACCAAGTACAATAGCAATACAACATCAATGAAGGAAATCAAGCCTTTAAAAATAAAAAAAAAAAAAAAAGCACTGATCCTGTTTTGACAACACCAGGACAATAGGCGTCGGTCCACAGGGGAGGATTCAAAGACAGGTAACAACTCTCACAGATACAGGGCTATAACGACTCAGTCGTTAGGGGACATTGTTGGCCTTCAAAGGACTGAAACACCACCGAGGGGGATAAATATCTCCGGCTCAACACCAGTCAGTCAGAACTGATGAAGCCTCTTGGATGAGAGGTGAAAATGTCTTCGACCTAGAAATCTAAGTCCTATTGATTTTTTCTATTTTTTTTTCAATGATCAGATCTGTGCAGCTGCTGGAGCAGCTCTAACCGTCTATTACATGTAAAACAAATGTCATATTTCCATCATGCTTTGTTCATTACATTTCATCATTCCGTTTCCCACCTTCAGAGCTTTTACTGGCACTACTTAAATTTTGTCTTCTCATTATATCCTCTTATGCTGCAATACTTTAATAACACCAATGAGCTGTCTATCACGTGACTAGAGGCCTAATCAACCAGGGTATACTGAAAGCACTTGTGTCATTATGTAAGACATGACATGTACCTGCAGTATAGATGCTAGGGGTGAAAGCACAAATAGGCTGGCTGTAGTTGGACTCTTTGGATTCGAGGCCGTCTGCGAAGCAGATTGAGACACAATACTGTCTGCCAGGGGCCACATCTTCCACAATCTGTCTTTCCAGAGACCGGATGTCCTTAAACTGCACATACAAAGACCACAGACAAAGTAGGATGAGTATAAACCTCAGAGGAAAATAACACAACATTACTCCTATAGATTAAATCACAAGAAGCTACAATTTAGAATGCTGTGATAAAGTCTGCAATAGTTGCAGTACAAGTGTAGAATTCATTATATACAGTTGCAAGAAAAAGTAATGAAACTGTTTGCAATTTCTGCATAAAATGGCCATGAAATGTTATCTGGCCTTCACCAAAGTCACAAATATCAACAAACAATATTTCTAAGCTGATAAAACACAAGCATGCATAATCTTATGAACTGTTAAGAATAGATGGACCTTTAAGAGAGTTAGAAAGACAAATGCTGAACAACAGAGTTAATCAAATGCTGCAGATTAGATCATACAGTGATTATGTTTGTGGTTGATCTTATCGGAAGTGAGCTCACATCTCCCACCCAGCGCAATAAAGCCAGAAATGAAAATGATAACAAATTAAGATAATTTAGCAACTGAAAAATGAAATGGCAGCAGTGATGTTTGTTGCCGCCTCCCATCAGCAGAGTGAACACACACTATTACAGCCCTTTCAGGTTTCATATTGTGACACACTACATTTCATTTTCCACTGTAGTTCGCATCTTGCAGGTCCATGGACACAGCCTACACATCATCACACCATCAGAATCATCAGACAAATAGATTACATGAATAATTATTAAAATGAGCAGCATGGTAAATACACTTAAGCAAATAAATATAACAACTATCAGCAGAGTAATTGTGATGCCTCGCACTGAGCTCCACCTTCAGCAGAGCCGGCTCATCGAGACACGTGACTGGCTGGACTGTGCTGAGATTACTTTACATTCAATAGCAGCCACTTATTTGGAATTTCATTGCAAGAATGAAAATTGAGTGTTTCACTTGTTTTTCTGATGAGGGGTTAAAATAAGCCCCACCAAGGGCTTCACGCTGTGAGCTGGTAACGCCATACGACACCATGAGTTATGGGTCACTTTTCAGTGTCTGGCGCCACCCCGACATGACCTAGTAGCCGAGCAGTGGGTCAACCAAAACGCAAAGCAGACTCGAACTCAAGCATCCAAAATACCCACGTCCTGTTTTGCAGCTTTGCTGTTCACACCAAACAGTAGCAGATACCTGCTGTGTCTATAGAAAAATGCAGGGCTTCATTCATACAAAATATGTTGCATCTGAATATTGTCCAACAATCAAGCATAATCCCTAAAAAACGTGGCCCTAGAAATGTTTTAGGAGACATTGTGACCTAAGAAGTAGGCTATAAGGGGGGTGGGGGGTGAAAAAAAAACTGCAGTGTCGCATTATACATCCAACAAATAGGCTTCTTTCAAAACTTAACTGTGTTTGCAGTTTTGTTGCATTCTCTAGGAGTGTAGTTTTTAAGAGAGCGGGTTGGCTCATCCCCTCCCCGATATTTTAACATGGTGGAGGGATTTGAGTGCCTGAATGATCCCAGGAGTTATGTTGTCAGGGGACTATATGTCCCTGGTAGGGTCTCTCAAACAGGTCCTGGGTGACAGACTAGACAAAGGGCGGTTCATAGGCTGCTCATGTTTACCCTGCGCGGTATGGGGTCACTGGGGTCTCACCCTGGAGCCAGGCCTGGGGGAGGGGCTTGCATGCGAAAGGCGTGATTGGGAGGAATGGCCTCCCTGATCTGTACCCGAGTATTGAGTTTTTATTGGATTTCTGTGCTAGTCATGGTTTATCCATAGCCAACACCAAGTTCAAGCATAGGGGGGTCCATCAGTGCACATGGCACTAGGACACCCTAGGAGGGAGGTCGATGATCAACTTTGTAGTCATTTCCTCTGATCTTCGGCCATATGTTTTGGACACTCGGGTGAAGAGAGGGGCTGAGTTGTCAACTGATCACCACCTGGTGGTGAGTTGGATTCGATGGTGGGGGAAAAAGCTGGACAACACTGTTTACAGTGGAGGTGGTGTGTTGCTGACCTCAACTGGGGATGTTGTCAGCCGGTGCAAGGAGTACTTTGAAGCTCTCCTCAATCCCTCTGACACGTCTTCCGTAAAGGAAACCAGGGCTAGGGACTTTGTCCATTACTCTGGCTGAAGTTGCCAAGGTAGTTAAGGAACTCCTCGGTGGCAAGGCTCCGGGGGTGGATGAGGTCTGCCCCAAGTTTCTCAAGTCTATGGATGTTGTGGGGGTCTCTTGCTGACATGCCTCTGCAGCATTGCGTGGAGTTTGAGGACGTGCCTCTGGACTGGCAGACTGGGGTGGTGGTCCCCCTTTTTAAGGAGGACCGCAGAGTATGTTCCAACTACATGGGGATCACACTTCTTAGCCTCCCTGGGAAAGTCTATGCCAGGGTACTGGAGAAGAGAATCCGGCCAGCAGTTGAACCTCGGATTCAGGAGGAACAGTGAGATTTTCGACCCAGCCGTTGAACACTGGAGCTCTATACCCTCACTAGGGTGTTGGAGGGTTCATGGGAGTTTGCCCAACCGGTCTACATGTGTTTTGTGGATCTGGAAAAGGCATTCGACCGTGTCCCTCGTGGCATCCTGTGGGAGGTACTTCGGGATAGGGGGTGCAGAGCTTGTTGTTATGGGCTGTCCGTTTCTGTTTTGGTGGCCACAGAATCTTATTCCTGTTTTTTGCAGATGATGTGGTTGGTTTAAGTATCTCGGGGTCTTGTTCACAAGTGAGGGAAAAATGGAGCGGCAGGTTGACAGGCGGATCAGTGCGGCGTCCACAGTAATGCAGTCTCTATACCAGTCTGTTGCAGTGAAGAAGGAGCTGAGTCGTAAGGCGAAGCTCTCAATTTACTGGTCGATCTACGTTCCTACCATCACCTATGGCCATGAACTTAGGATCATGACTGAAAGAAAGAGATCGTGGATACAAGCGGCAGAAATGGGTTTCCTCCGGAGAGTGGCAGCACGCACCCTTAGGGGTAGGGTGAGAGCTCAGTCACCTGTGAGGAGCTCAGAGTAGAGCTGCTGCTCGTCCACATTGCGCAGAACCAGTTGAAGTGGCTCGGGCACCTGTCTAGGATGCCCGCCTGGATGCCTCCGTGGGGAGGTGTTCTGGGCATGTCCCTCCAGGAGAAGGCCTTGGGGCAGACCCAGGACATGTTGGAGAGACTATGTCTCGCAGATGGCCTGGGAACACCTTGGGGTTCCTCCTAGAGGAGGTGTGTGGGGAGAGGGAAGTCTGGGAGGCTCTGCTCAAAATACTGCCCCCGCAAACCGGTCTCGGATAAAGCGGACAAAGATGGATGGATGGATGGATGGGTTGGCTCATTTGTCTAAAGAAAAATCTACAAAATATTAAACATCACAATCCACACAAAATATAATCACCATTTAGAGCAAAGCCTGTCCACAGGGCTATTTCTTTACTTCTAAGTAGCCATTCATACAGCAGCCTATGAGCTACCGTTTGTGTGTGCATGGGGTACAGTACCTGAGTACAGGCTGAGCGCCACCTACAGACATTATACTGTAACACATGCCATTCTGCGGGACAAATGACCAACAGTCACGGTGAAAGTGGCCACTTATCACATGAGAGAGTGACACTTTGAATGTCTACGTCTGTACGTAAAGTCTTGCACAATAGTTTATGGATTTCCTTGAATGATCATAGTCTTCAGGCAATAGCGCATTCATGCAAACTTGCCTGATATGCATATACATCCTCCTGCTGCTGCACTGTGACCAGAGGATGTGGAGAAAAATACAGGGCCTGAGGTTACTACATGTCCGGGAATGTTCCTGTTTTACCTGACCGGGTCCAACGTGGTGTGAATGGAGTGGCTAGAAACCTGCAAGCAGCCGGCCAGTGAAGCATCCTGGGGAGGTGAATGATCAGCTGATCAACACTGGATTCCCCTGGAGCACAGTGTCTGTTTGTTTTGACTGCCCGAGGCCAGTGTGTCTGCCGTGATGTGCTGGTGGTTAATGAGCGGATTAATGACCCACGTTGTTATTGTCAGCACTACGCTACCTGTTAGGATTAATTTCACTACTTTGGGAATGTGGTCAGCTGTAAGGTGGAGGATTTGTGGGGGAAGACGCAGTGATCGCCATTGGATTTACCAACCTTGAAGCTACTTCAAAAGGTGGGATGTAGCAGTAAGTAAAAAAAAAAACAAAAAACATGGTGCATGTCTGTTAATGCGTTGTTTCTTTAGAGAGATTTGTTTTAAGGCTGGAGACAGTATTAAATATGGGGTTACTCAACTACCCCCTTTGTTTAGAGTGTTACACATCTCTTTTAATTGGTACATATACCGTTGTTTACCTATCTACGGAGGAGACATTCAAATTAATTAATGAAGTTGGGTTGCTGTCCACTTTCATATTCTGGCTCAAACATGTCAGATAGGATTTAAGGTAGTATTGTCATTGACGAAAATGTAGCTTATTTGTTCAAGTTTTTTTTTTGTTTATTCGCTGTTGTAGCTTCCTGACCGGCAAAAGAAGTTCTGCGTGTTCACAAACTATCCTCTCATTTTCAGGAGTTATGATGGGTGCTGATGGGTGCAAAGCTAATCAAGAGGTACCCAAGATTAAACCTTAAATGGCTGGAAATGAGCATGCAATGGGCGCCTTAAACTCAGTTTATAAGTTTTTACATCACCACTGTGGTGTCTCATGAGCTTTAAAATTCATAGATGAGATACTCAAACTTTCTAGACCTTCTCACCTGTACCTGCAGCAAAATATCCATGTCAACACAGCCTGCTGAAATTTTTAAGTGTTATTTTGAATCCACCCTCTCAGTCATGATGGCACAAGTGGATAAATAAGTCTTGCTAAAACATTGTGTTCGTCCATGTACAGTACCTGGGCTCTGTCTGCACCGCTGCTCATAATTTTAAGTTTGTAATGAAGAGTGTTATAGGTTTCCCTAAGATGTTCCATGGGAGGTTGAAGGTCCACACACATGTTTCTGCCACATGATGTCACAGTCAGCAGTGGCAGGTCCAAATGAGCTGGAAGACATGAGAACAAAAGAGACCCCTCATTTACATAAATTCAAATTTCTGTCATAAGTCAATCATTTTCAAGGAACAAAGGGCTGTCAGTAAGGCAGTAGGTGAGCTGCTTTTTGCCATATCCAGATGACGTGAGTGTTTGTAGCCTACAGTCTGTGCCCAGCTCACTGTGCCTGCCCTCACCTGTCAGTGGATTACTAGCTTTCTGACAGACAGGAAGCAGCAGGTGAGGCTGGGGAAAACCACATCCAGCACCCGGACAATAAGCACAGGTGCCCCCCAGGGATGTG